AAAAAAAAAAAAAAAGAGGCTGAACTATCTGGGTGAGGTTTTCAACAGGGACCAGCTGTGCCACAGAGGCTAACACAGACCTCAGCATGCACAGATGAAGAAAAAAGGACAGGAAGTTTGTGAAAAGGGAAGGCATGGGGATAATCCAGGAAGAAGACTGGTGAGCATTTGAGAAGCCAATTAGAGAACCTTGAAAGGTTGACCATGTCCTTTTAAGTTTTATAACAGTGTAAACGATTCATTCATCATTCTTCACTGGTCACAAAATGAACAGTTAGACTGTTAAATGACCTCAGCTTTGCCTTGGGTTCTTAACTCTAAGTTAGTCACTGCCTGGCTGCCCTAATCATAAAATGAGTCATTAATGCTTAAAGAGGAGAAACATTCTCTGTCCACCTTCCCCTGGAGTACAGCTCCCACATGTTTTGTTATTCCCTCAAAACACATTGCTAAAAGAAGGAGGAGGCCAGCCCAACCACAAAGGTTGCAGAGATAAGGGGAAAGAGAAACACATGAATGCTCTGGATATCCAGCACTCCTATCATTCATGGGCCTCTCACTTCTGGGGAACTAAACCTAGCAGGCACTTCCCTCAAGGACACCGTAATAAGCAATTCAGTCCCTTCTATCCTACACAGCAAAGTTTAACATAAATTCCAGCTTCTGTCTGGGGTAAGCTTTCTGATGACTGTCCCCACACTATGTAGTTAGTCAGCTCTTTCTGAGCTTTGAAATAGCAAAAATCAATCATTTCAATATGTATGAATAATACTGCATTTTTGAGAGTGTTGCTGTCTTATTACTGACTAGCAGAGGCTAAACACAACCAGTTACTACTGTGAGCAGGGACATGGCAATCAAAGCTGGACAGTCCAGAATTTGTGTCAAGTCATGACCCTTTCCCACACACAAACTGCCCTTGTTGGGTTTTGTCTACTCCTGAGATCCTCTCCCAGTTTTCTATCACGTTTTCTTGACTGCCAGCATCTACAGGTGATTCTTTTTTACTCAGAAAGAACCCAGAAAATACACACACTTTCCATTCAGTCTCATAAATACACATGCACACGCTCAAAGGGATTAGGCTGCCAGCCTGGCTATGGGACTAGAGGTGATTTTCAAGCCCAAACACATCTCAGTGTAAAAAAAACCCCAGCTATTTGCCTTTTATCCATACAGATCCACTTATCTGAACTCTAACTGGAGTTTCATTTTTCTCACCAATCAGCTGTGAACTAATTACGAGGACTTTAACTAGTCCTGCTCCCTCTCCAAGCATATGGATCCAATTAAGTCAAACTGCAGCTGATTTTAATCAATCTTCCTTGAAGCAGCCAACCTTGAAGAATCTCTTCTTCAGCTGGAAGAGTAGAGGAGAGCAGGAAAAGCAGGAGAGCAGTATTTGCATAAGGAACACTTCACATCCGCTTGGTTGCCTGTAAACAGGGCTCCTAGCAGTAAGAAATGCTAATTGAACACTCCTCACAACTCTTTCCTCCCACTTTACCCAAAAAGCACTGATTTGATCAGTCTCTTTTGTTCCTGGCATCGAGCTGCACTTTTCCACCAGCACCTCTGGAAGATGGTCCAGATATTTCAGATAACTGAAACAAACCAAGCCTTTCTCTGAAATCTCAGCCTGCCCACCATGGGTGAAGCAGAAGCAGCTCAGGTTTCCTGGAAATGTTTTTCTGCTTCATCGAAAGGAAAAAGGGTAGAGGAGATGAGATAAAATTATGTGTTTAAACCCACTCTTTTCATATTATTTGAATCCCTCTCCTGAGCCACAGTTTCAAACGTTTTCCTTAAGATAATATCCTGGGCACCAGGGAGGCAGTCTCAACCGGGTGTCATTTCTCTACAACTCTACATCTCCTGTGTTTTTGTAATCTGAGGTTTTCATTAGCAGTAAAGACCTGGCCAGTGAGTGATATCCATGCTAAAGTCTTTATACCAGTGAAGGAAAATCAATGCAGCCTGTAGCTAGGTGTCAAGAGGCAAGGGGTTTTGGAAGATGGGGTGTGTGGAGGTGGAAAATGCCTTCAGGCATAATTCAAGCTGTCCCCACACAAGCACAGAATACATAAAGATGTCAGATGTTATACACCAGGCTGTGGAGAGCTATCAGCACCTCAGTTCACCTGCTAATACTGAGCTCAAGGAGTGTGAGTCAAACACCAAAAGCACCTCTCCAGGTGCTCCTTTGCCCTCTGCCCAGTCCATCAGGGTCCCCTTGCTCACAATGGGCTTTTGTGCAGAAATCAGCAAAGTTCCTGTGCCAATATTCCGATGCAAAAGGATTGAGAGGAGGAATTTCTCCACAGAAATGAGGATTAGACATTGGAATGGGCTGCCCAGGGAAGTGGTGGATTTGCAATTCCTGGAGGTGTTTAAGGAAACACTGGACATGGGATTTGGTGCCATGGTCTGGTGGTGTTGGGTCATAGGTTGGATTCAATTATCTGAGGTCTTTTTCAACCTAAATGATTCTGTGATTTGGAGATAAACATTTTTGAAACTCCACTCCTTTCTACACCTCAACACATTCAAACTGACATCAAATTATTAGCTGTATCTCCCTAGATTTCATGCACCAAACACAACTTTGTGAACTCAACAGATTCAGTTCAGTGTCAAGCACTCAGAGCCTTAATTCTACAATCTGTCTCTTCCAAATTCCTAATTTTAATATGTCCCTCCTACATGTCTTTCCTTTAGTAGATACAATTCCAGGAGTCAGAGGTTTTATTTTACAAGAAAGAACCGCAGATAAAGAAATCACCTTCATTCTACCTGGTTTAATGTCAGCCCCTTCTCTTACACCTTTATTTGATTTGAAGCCATGCTTCTCCCATGTTTGCAGTTTTAGTCATCTTCCTGATCAGTAAAACTTCCTTGTGACTTCTGTATGTAGTTTGTCTTGCTTTTTTTTCCCCTTCATGATACAGACTTTATTTTAACCCATCATTTCCCCATGATTTCTTTCAGAGGTGGGAATAAATAACATGTCAAACTAGCAATGCTTCAGTGACCTTATCTGAGTGTATAATGACATTTTCAGCATATTTGCACAGCACTGATAGAAGAGGTGAATTTCTAAGCTTATCCTTAACTTTGTAGGTTCTCACTCTAACAAACCTTCTTTCAATGTGTTTATAAAAAGAGTAATTTTAAGCTTGGCCTGTCAAGGTATTTGATTCACAAGGTCAATAAAAACTGGGAAGGCTGATGTTTTTCCCTCTGAGGAGTTCTTGGCCATTCAGGTGGGCACACATGGATCAATACTGACACTTTAGCATTCAGCTGGCATATTCCTGTGCTTGTGCTTTCCTCTCTACTCCTTCTCTTTCAAAAAGCTACTTTAGGCATCAAGTCCTCTAAGACACAAGTAAAGTGAGACTTTAGGGACAGGAGGAGCTACCTCCTGTTAAATAAGGAGTTAAAGCCATGTCCTCAGCCTTGGCAAGGGAGATGGAAGAGCATCATTACCTGAATTCAGCTCACTAACTCAAAGATTTCTCTTTCCTAGACCTGCTATCCAAGACTTGGCATCTCAAGTCACTTGGTTCATCTTTGTATGAACAAACACAGCAGATCTTTGTGATATTTTGAGATATCACAAATAAAATAGGGAATTCCTCTGGTCAGGCCTTCTTGGGAAGCCAGCAACCACTGTAAGACCATGAAGGCAGATTAACCATGACCTGAGCTGTAATCTACTCTGAAACCAAAGCTGCTCCTGTGTTTACTGGAGACCTAAGCATCCAAACACCAGCCCAAAGCTTTCATCTCCTTCTGATGACTGAAACCCAATTAAAGGAGAGCAGGGTGACAGGTTTCACACTAAACATGGCTCAGCAGAGATGCTCAGCAGCTCTTAGCTCCCTGCTTTATCAAAGCTGTCACTTTCCCTGTCTCCAGGAATGGGTTATAAAAATAAAAAAAAAAAAATTGATTAAAAATAAAAAAAAAAAAATTGATTCACATCTAAGAGGTGTCAACATAACATCAATGGTGTGGCTGAAACCTGGGTAATTTCAAACCTGCAGGTTTTCTACCATGAAGCAATTTGCAAAAAAAAAAAAAAAAAGGGAAAAATAAAGTTAAAAAGAAAGATAGATTAAGATAATAGAATTCTACAATGACAAATTGTTCAACTTAACAGAGAGAAAAGAAAGAAGAGAGAACACTCTTCATAGAAGGGTGGGCTTTGACTGAACCAACAGGCTCAGGTTCTTGTTTGCTCCAGCATCTTTCAAACAGGAATCACCACAAAAGCTTGAAGCAATTCCCCTGCTCTTCCTCTGCACAGGAAAGCTGTTCCTAGGGTGACAACAAGCTGAAGAGCCAGTCCATTACCTGCTGCAGGTGCCTTTGTGTGAGATTTCACAGATCTACCCTGAGTGAAAAGCTGAACACCTTCTGCCATAGAAGACAGCACCGGAAAAAGGCAAAATTCACAGAGTGGCAAAAGGAGCACAGCTCACATCCTTCTGCTCATCCCCTCACCAGCACTGATGGTTCCTGCCTTGGAAAGCTCCTGCCTGCTGAGGTGGTCTCTGCTTCCATCACTGATACCAGCAGAGAGCAGAGAGCAGAGAGCAATACGAACAAAATTCAAAATTTCCCATCCACTCCATGCTGATCAGCCCTGTCTATGCTCCCACTTTGTCATGAACGAATTTGGGGACAGACAATTTCTAGTGGTGGAGCTACTTAACATGGACCACTTTTTAAGGCTCCAAGAAGAGAAGTCCTAGATAGAGTCATCCAACAGGACAACTGAATCTGTGTGATTGCATCTGATATCCACCCTCCCTGATGGCATGGTCAGAAACACAGGTGTGACAGTGCAGTCAGCACAGCTGCCCAGTGGTGCCTTGCCCAGATGGAGGGGAGGGAAGCTCCGTGCTGGGAGCACTTGGGCACATCTGTTAGAACAGCCACAGCACATGGACCATGCCAGGCTCTCCAGCTGCTCTGGACCTCCACACTCCTACCTGCAGAGTGAACTTCTCCAGCTTCATTTCCAGAGATCTGTTCTCCTCTGCCAGCTTGCTGCGATCAGCTTCCAGCTCCTCGATTTTCAACCTGGAGAAGAAGGGAAAATTAATAGACTTTGGGTGTCCTTGCACAGTCCCACCACAAATAATCAAGTAAAGCATGAAACCAGAAACGGTATCAGATTATTCCTGCACCCAGTACCACAAAACTGAACTACTGAAGGAGCTAAAATATATGGTTAAAAGTGACATGTTTATATGATGAGAATATAATTTGTAAAAGTATATTAAAAATATACAATTTGAATATAAAGCAAGTTCAGCTTGGATACCTTCTGAACCACAGACTGAGTCTAGACCATCATGTTTAATAACCACCAGCAGCTAAAACCTCCATAAGGCATCAAATCTCTTTTTGATCTGATTTATACTTTTGGCCTTCACAACACTCCTTGGCAGTAAGTTCCACAATTAAATTATGTGCTGTATGAAAAATTAGTTCAGTTTGTTTTATACTTCACATGTGATTATTTCACTGAGTGCCCGTTAGTTCTGCTATGAAAAGTCGTGAATATTGTACCACACTCTCCTCTCCACACCTCAGTACAGACCTCCTCTATTATTTCCTGAAGAATCTCAGTTTAGTCTTCCTTCACACCAAGGATTTTCCATATTTTTATTGTTCTTCCTTGTTCCCTCAAGTTTTATACAGACTTTTTGACATGAAATAAGATGGAACTACAAAGAGCACTCAGATATATCCAGTGGTACAGTGAGGATTTCTGCTTTATTCTCAACTTCCTTTCCAACAGCTTCTAGTATTCTATTTGTATTTTTAACTATGGAGCACCTACCTAATATTTTCAGAAAGCTGTTCACAATATTGTAAGATCTCTCTCTTGAGTGACAACAGCTCATTTAGAGCTCTCTATTGTGGAAGTAAAAGTAAGGGTGTTTTTTCTTACGTGCATGGGTTTAGCAATTATTGACATGCAACTTCATCTCCCCTTTCAAGCAGCATCCTAAGATTTCTTCTGAAATTCTGAATGCTCTGATAAGCTGAATAATTTTATATTATCTCAAACTCTGCCACCTCACTACTCACAGACCCTTTTTTGTGCTGGACAAGTTCCCAATTCCCAATCAAAACCATTCTAGGACCTAGTGGAAAAATCCTCGGCATTGTGAAAATATTTATTCTTTGATTTTCCATATTTTAACTTTATATTACATAAGCAAATTAACGGAAGAAAAAGGCATGAAATTTTACAAAGTAAAAATATATTGTATTATCTCTGGCTCAGGAAATCCTGGAGACAGGGCTCAGGGAAGCCAGGAGAGCCTCCTGGCAAGGTACCCACATGTTCTGTCCTGCTCACGTGGGACTTTTGGCTCAAAGCTTTTTGAAAGGTCAAATACCTTAGATCAACCATACCAGCCTTGGACAAATGACTGGTGAGTCCTTCAGAGAACTCCATCAAACTTGTTAGGCAGGAGATACATGTATAAAAGTTTGCATTTAAAATTTTTGCTTTCATTTAAGTACAGAGTACAAAACCCTGATGCTTCTTCAAGACCCTCCCCTTCCACATGTTAACTTCTTGGGATTAATTGTGCAACTAACACAGAGTAACACTGATCTTTGGATTCAATTTTTTCAGGATCCTTTTTCTCAGAATATTCATTAAAAATTAATTATCTTGCTTAATAATACTTTTAAATTACCTAAATTAAGCTGAAAATCCTTGCACCATACAATAAAGAATGCAACCATCTGTCAATATCCCAAAGTTATGCAACAGCAACTTCAGGTACAAGGAAGAAGTCATCTCTCCTATTTATTTGGCAACAGTTCCAAACTTTTCCATAGAAGCAGGTTGATCCACATCATGTTCAGCACAGAAATTTCTCCTTTATAAATATGCAGCTTGGATTGCTTAAATTATTTGTAAGCCTGACCCCTGCTGGCAATTTTCAAATATTATCAAGTCTCATCTTTTTCTGCTCTTGGAAGCCTCTAAAATGCCGTGGAACAGTTTTAGAACTGTCCCAGGTATTAAAAAATATCATCAATAACTTTCAGAAGAGGCACAAAGCTAGTGGGGATGGAGGATGCTGAAGCAGGAGACCGAAAAGGTCAGGAAAAATGGAAATTCAAAGTGGAATTAATGCTTTTAATGGTGCATTTCTAAATGGATTGCAGAACAGGCTGTGAGGAGAGCAACACTCTTCTCTGAGGAACAACAGCACAACAGCTCCTGAAAGGTCAGAGCCAGACACAGGACTCTCATCAGTACTTTCTCCATCCTTGACATGCTGAATTTTAATTGGGAACAAATTTCTCCCCATCCAGCTTCACAAATAATCGGATGCTGCTGTTATCTGCTTGCAGAACTTGTCTCCGTGGGGAGGTTTAAGATCAGGCCTCTCAGTTGCCCTTTGAAAATCACTCATAGCAGCAGCCAGAAAACACTTCCCAAAGACCTGAGACACAGCTATAATGAGGGTAGATTAGAGCCAGTATATTTTTGTGCTATTTCACCTGCAATTTTAGGATTCAACAATCTGTTTGTGCCCTTCGTGCCTCACTGCTGAGCAAGTGGAGATTGAAAGCCTGGGGCACTCCCAGTCAGGTAGCAGATATCACAGAAACCTGAAATGGTTTGTGGTGCAAGGGACAGTAAAAATCATTTAGTTCTCCCCTCTGCCATGGGCAGGGACACCTTCCACTATCCCAGGTTGCTCCAAGTCCCATCCAACCCAGCCCTGGACACTTTCAGGGATGGAGCAGCCTCAGCTTCTCTGGGTAATCTGTGCCAGAGCCTCCCCACCCTCACAGGGAAGAATTTCTTCCAAATATCCCATCTAGCCCTGGCCTGTGTCAGTTTGAACCCACTGCTCCTTGTGCTACCACTGCATGCCACGGTCAAAAGTCCCTCTTCAACTCTCCTGTAGCCCCTTTAGGCACTGGAAGGCCACTATAGGGTCATCCTGGAGCCCTCTCTTCTCCAGAGCCACCTGCCCTGTGACCAGCAACAGGCACAGGAGCACCTGTGAGCTGAGGGTCACAGCCTCTCACCCCCAGGTGGCTGCTCCTTGCCAGGGTCCCAGCTATGGGGGCATCCTCCTTTGCTGACACAATTTAGGGCTCTGGGGCTTCCTGCCCTGCTCTGGGCAGGGTCAGCCCATGGGGCACTCCCTGGTTCTCCTTCAGAGACAAAACCTCTGCACTGAGAAACAAGAACACTGCTGTAACCTTTGTGCCAAGAGGATTTTGGGACTGACTAGTGCTTTCACCATTTATCCCTCTCCTATCTTGTTTTAACACTGTTAAGTGTCCTGGATCTCCAGTGGGAAAGCGTTCAGAACCATTAGCAAACACTTTGTGCTATTCCAGCTTTGCTTCCCACCCCCCTGGGGAACTCCTCCCAATGGCAAAGAGAGACAAGCAAGGGAAATCCTATCTATATATAAACACAGCAAAGCATTTGCAGCTGGTGGTTAAAATATGGAAGTCAAATATTGAAAAATATTTACTGGCTTGGCACTTGGATTTTTTTCATTTACACATTTTTTTCATTAAGTTCACGTATAGGGATGATTGTGTACGGCCACAAAGGCAGCCTTGGTGCACACTCCTTGTGCCTTTTCTCTCCAGGGACATCTGCACAACAGAGGTGATGCTATTTTATCACCAATTTGCAATCCTCCTCTTGTTACATATTAGGGTTACTTTCAGGTAGGGAGAACAATCCAAGAGAAATCCATGTGAGTACCATGAAAACCAGGGTACAGAAACACCTGGGTACAGCAAAATCATCTACCAGCTCGATTTTTAGCCCAGAATGGTCTGGTTTAAAAGGGACATTAAAGATATTTCAGTTCCAGCCCCCCCACCATGGGCAGGGACACCTTCCAAGAAACCAAATTACTCCAAGCCCCATCCAACCCGGCCTTAAAACCTTGTGTCTGTTGTGCCACAAGGAAGAAACATCAGTTACTTTCTGAAATATCAACACCATTGTCAAGTTTTGTGATACAGGAAGAAACCATTTGAATTAATTTGTAGAGAATTCATGAACTTCTCCATACAGGGGTTTGAAAACATGAAAAGATCTCTGGCAAAGATGTCTTCACCTATTCAGAAGATTTTCCTGTATCAGACAGCTGAACCAAGAGTTGAAGGCTCCACAGGCATAAGGTAAATTGATGCCACCTCCACAACCTTTCACCAGATCAAATTTAGTGCAAAATACAGATTCATTGGCATTTGCTCAGCCTCATGGATTTTCCCTCTTTTAAAAATGGAGCTTTATATTGCCCCTACTGCATGTTTCATTATCTCAAACCAGGGGAGAGAATGAGGAAAAAAAACCCCACCTACAGCCTCAGGTTTCCTAAAATGACACTTGTGAGAATCAGGAGACATCCCACCATGTGTGTTCAGCCTGTCTAAAAACCTCAGATCGTGAGCCAAGGCTGCTCCTACTTCAGAGAGGCAAAAAGGGGGCAAGTTCTTGGATTTTCAACACCCAGGCACTCCCAAAGTCTCTCTGAGTCCAGAGATTTTCAGTGGAATTAACCAGTGAAAACTGCCCCCACCACCATGACTCTTTTATCTTTGTTTTATTGGTTTTTAATGCTCTCAGCTGTGCTGTGTGGTTGCCTGTAGCTATCACCCATGAGGACATGTCTCACAGAGGCCCCATCTGCGAAGGGGGCATGGCCATGTGGAAAAGCAACTGCTGAACAGGAAAATACTGAATGGAGCAGAAAATGCATGTGCTGGGAAGATGCTATTAAGGGACCCAGATGGCAGTGAGATGGTGTTAGGAGCAAAGCAGACAGAATTCCAGCAAGTGTGACTAATGGGCATTGGCAAGGACATGAATTTCTTTTGAATTACTGTAACTCTACCCAGCCACTAAATCCACAGAAAACATTTAGGATTTACTGGGGTTGCAATGTGACAGCAGAAAGAAAAAGTTCAGATTTGTTCCAGCTGAAAAGGTCCTTCAGCTGTTGCCACTTAAGTCTTTAGTGAAGTTCTTTTTAAATATATTCCTTTTATTTATAGATTGTGAAATACCAGTTTCTGCACAGTTGTCACCTTCCTATTAAAAGGTGCTAATGCCCAAATGCTGTACCCTACAGAGTAGGAACTGAATGGGTTGACCACTGTTTCTTTTCATAGGATCTGCAGAATATAAACAAATATTATTTCAGAGGGAGCAGCAAAAAGTGTGAGAAATGACAGCATTAGCACTGCTTTTATTGTGTCTCCAGAAACGATGATGCTGGGAGAGAGTTTCAAATTTAAAGTTATAAAAGGTCTGACAAAATAGCACTTTGTTCTCAAGAGAAGGAGGAAAAACTGATAAAGTCTTTAAAGTTTCTGGCTGAAAATTTACTTTCCATACTAAAGAAAAATGAGACAAAAGATATTTTTCTTAAAAGCTCTCATTCACTCACAGGAGGTGAATACAGATACAAAGGATTAGTATGGATTTTTTTTTTTTCTCTTTTATGTCTCCTCTGCTCTTGTTTTCAGAAGTGAGCTCCCAACCACAGGGTCTATATGGAAATTCCTGGAGGCTCAGCAGCCCATTCCTGTTGTGCACACTCCTCGTGCTGGATTCAGTGGTTCCTCCTATTTTTCACATTCCTCTGTGACAGCAGTTAACAGGAGAGGCTGGGCTCAGCCCAGAGGAGCAGACACGTCATCCTGCAGGTTACAGGATTTCAAAGACTACAATAAACTACAGAAATGGAAATAACTCCCTCACAAGCTGTGGCATTTCTTTCCCCACTTTCCAATTTGGAAGTCTGTGCTCTTCCCCCTGCTTCCTCCCAGAATTAGTTTCTGGCAGTGGTGTGTAGAAGGAAGGAGTGACAGTGGAGTTTGTGTTGTTCTCCTTAGCAGCTACATAAAATTGACTAAACTGGTGCTGTTGAGGCCCACAGGAGGAGGATGAGCACAGCAGCCCTAATCCCTGCCCATTCTCATCCCTGTTCTCCTCCAGACCCCTTCTGTTCTTCAATCACACCCACCCAGTTCATTGCTGCTGTACAGAGGGGACACATCCAGCTGAGCCACGAGGAGTGTTCTGATGTGGATCACAGCACATTCTTCCTGAGCCCCAAAGGACTGAGAGAATATAGTGATTTATTCTGTGTTCCTTTGAGAAGGAGCCTCTTCTGTGAAGGAAGAACTTGGCCCAGTTTCTTGAGCAACGCACAGAAAATGCAAAATAAAGTCCAACCATATCCATTGACTGCATAAGTCTAGAAACATAAAAATAAATCTTTATGGAGTCAATTCTGAAATTTCTCTCAACTCAGATGTGGAGTGCCTGAGAGTGCAAGATGTCTGAAGCAGTAATAGAAGCCAACAGTAAGGAAAAAGGAGCAGGGACTGGCTTACAGTGCTCCAGCAGAAAGAAAGGTTTGCACCAAGTCATTTACTGTTAGGTCTGAGCAGTGGAAAAGGTGATCAAAACCAAACAAATCCATGCTTTGTGGAACAGTTCTGTAACTAAATAACCAGCATCAGGGGCTGGGACAAGTATTTATGACAGCAATGACAACAAAAAGGGGTTCAGTAAAAAAATACAGGAAAAAACAGTCTGGAATTAGAATGTGGAACTGTGGCTGCTATGCACCCACAGCTTCAGGAGCAAGAGAGATGAAAAACCAGAACATCAATGTGAAACAACTGCAGAAGCTTGGCCTCTGCTGAAACAACCTTCAGAGTATGGCCCATCATTGGAGAAGAGCTTTGCACCATCATCCACCACACTGGGAACTGGCCTGGGTTTGGGACATATTTTGTGTGAACGGTTTGACACCATTTCATGGGAGGAGGAGAAAGTGAGATTAGTAGTCACAGAAATTCCTTAAAAACAAAGAGGGAAAAACATTATCTATGAACTTTAGGACTACTGTTGAGCTGAATCAAACACTACAATCCCATAACAAGCAAGTATTTGTGAACTCCAGTCATCCCTGCCCAGGAAATAGATTTTCATTCAGGGCAGAGCCAGCCATCTCCACCCCCACTGTCCAAGAGCCTGTCACATTGTGGAGTGGTCTGGACTGTGTGGCAGTCCAGCTGCTCCCCTACACACACTGTCCCTGAAGCTGCTCAGGTAATAGATGGCAAATGTTGCTCAGGGAAGCTAAGCACCAAATAAAGAGTTTTGGAGGGGAAAACAAAGAGCCTGAACATGTCCCAGATGAAAGGGTGCTGCAGCAAAACCAACCAGGGAGGGAGAGACCACGTAGGCACTGTAGAAAATCTCTGCAAACCTGCAAGTCCCAGAAGACAGCAAACAGGCTGCTGGCTTTTCTGACACACACTGATCATTATGCAGGAGTAACAGGTTAAATGCTGCCAAGGAGGTGCTGAATACTCCTGCAGCAGTGTAAACCTCAGGTTTTCGAGGGTCCGGTGTGCCTTAGCAAAGGAAAAGCCTGAATGAGCAAGAACAAACAACAAAAAAAAAAGGCAAAAGTTGATGGAGACAGGTTTATCTCCCTGAAAAAGGGAAGTCATAGCATTCTCTCCTTTAGCAGAACTCAAACATATGATAGAATAAAAAAAAAAGGAGATGTATGCCTTGGGCCTCCAGAGCTATTAGAGCACCTTGAGGGAACTATAGGAGCAGGTCCCCAAGATTAGGTGTACAGCCCTAAAATGTATTGGAATAGCTTAGCTGAACATGTGTTATTTTCAAACACCTCCCTCCTGCTATGGAACCAGGCTTTCAGAGCTGTAAAACAAGCTCCAGAGGCAAAGCACAAGAGCAAAGCCATAACACACAGGCCAGTAATTTCTGCTTTCTGCAGGATTCTGCTTGCTGCAAAACCTTGCTTTCAGTCCTATGAGGCAGTCACACTTGATTGTGATGGAGCTGAAAATAGAAAAGAATTAAGACATGAAAGTCCAGCCAAAGTCTTACATCAGCTGAGAATAAAATACTCAGCCTGTGAAGACCTGATTCGCCCAACTTAAATAAGAGAAACTTTATTAAACATTCAGAAACAGATGAACTTTTCTGTCCTCAGTATTTATTGTGTCACCTGCTTTGCAATGGAAGCTATAAATGCTTTAATAAATACATGGAAAGGTTGTTTAGCTTCACTGTAGCTTTTGTAAATGCTCATGTATCCCCTGCTGAAATGCTGTTTTGTAACTTCTCTTTCACTGAATCACAACAGGTACCCCTCTGCCATCTCCAGCAATGCACGAGGGGAAACATCCCTCTTTTATCTCCAATGCTACACATGCATCAGCAGCACAAAAGCTGGATTCTAAACCTCTTCACACACATGCCAACAGATCCTGTATTTACAGTCGAGATTTGGTCAAAACAACAAATAAACAGCAATTCCATTTCCACAGGAAAGAAAGTCAACAGGGGGAATAGTGATGCAGGAGCCAGGCTTATCAATTAACTGACAGCAAAAGACCCCAAATATTAAAAAAAAAAAAAAAAAAAAAAAAAGAGCCTGAGCCTCCCAAAAGATAGCAAAGCTTATAAAGTATCTAAATGCAGGACAGATCATGGGCTGAGTGTTTCTGCTAGTGCTTCATGGGGTTCTCACATCCATAAAAGCTCGTGAGAAAGTAAAATGTGCTCAGAAAAAGAACACCCTACTTCAGGAAAACAAGGAAAATGTGTTCTGGTCATGACCCCAGTGCCTGAATAGCAGGCAGCCTACATACAAACTTCCTCATGCACTATAGCACAGTGAGCTGCTGTACCTGCTGCTCCACAACAACCACAGCAGGCAGTGAAACTACCCCAGGCATTTCCCTTCTCATCAGTTCCACCCAAAAGAGCAGAATCTGCTCAGCCTTCCCTGTGCTCTGCCTACCTGAGCGTGTCCACCTCCTCCTTGGTGACGACAGTGCTCTGCTCAGCCGTGCACTGCTGAGACTTCAGGACCTTCATCTCCACCTCCAGCTGCAGGAGACAAAAGATATTAGTTCCTGCAGCACTGCTAAGGCCACACACGAACAGCAGAGAGAGGAGGAAATCGTGAGGTTCTGCACAGGTCAGACTCCTCATGATACAGATGTGAAGCACAACTTCTCTTGTGTTAAATGTCAACATCTCACTTAACCCTCCTTCCCTTTGCCTTTCTTGACTTTTTCTCCACAGTAGATGAAGCACAGGAAGTTGAATGTTACTAGCAAAGCTTCTGCTTCTTCTTCAGGTATTTCCCCTATTTTCCCCCATGGATAATGGAATGCAGAAGACTCTGTGTGGCATTAGGAGCTCGCTGGGACTTGAGGTTTAATATTGGTAGTTCAACCTCACTCGATTCCTCCCCAGAAGAAATGAACCACAGGATTACACTGTCTTGTCCACAACAGCTCTGAGACACATACATTGAATCCAAAAGTCTGGGGAATATTTCCAGCACTTTCCAATATACACTTCTAGCTCTAGCTGCTCAGGTAGCTCTGGCTGAACAAACAAACAATTAAGAATATTTTCTGCCTCTGGCTTTGTTTGGGTAGGAACTCCCAAAAAAGTACCTCAAAACTCTACAGACATGAGAACTTCTTACCCAGACTCTACAATTCCCAGGCTCCCTGACTTGTAGCAGTCTGGATCCCTAATTCAAGAGACCAAGACAATGCACAGATTGATAAACTCCATATGTTACTTGTTTCTAAACCCCTCAGAAAATCATATATTATGAAGTGTAAGCAGAGACAAACTACCTAGAGGACACTCAAACTTCTGTTCCAACACCTTCTCCCAGCTCAGATCTTCTTCATACACTCAATGCTTGAGATTCTCGACTTCCTTCTGTCGTCTGTCTTTTTACCACCTGTCAACTAATTCCCCTAATAAATCTGTTGATGGAAACAATATTTTTTCACCCAGGAGGAAAATCATAAGCAATCCAGCCTTAATTATAGATGCAAAACTAATGACCACAGAGAGTTCAGCACTCAGCATCAGGGAAATAATCCATTAATACACCATTCCCTGCAACAGCATAGATTAGACTTGTAGAGGAAAAAAATCACATTGCAATGGGAAACTTCTGCAAGCTTTTCACAGAAACTCTCCAATCTTACAAGAAAAAGGAGCATCTTGTCACAGACAGTCATATTGCTCAGACAGAACTGAAGTTTTGACACGCTGCCTCTTCGCCCTTCCATGCTTACCAGAAAAGACAGGCAGAGCATGGCAGTGCTGCTGGCAGGAGAGGGCAGAAAATAGATGGCTGGATTATGCTCCCACCCCTTTCTGACACCAAAGGAACAGAGCAGAAGAAAGAGCATCAAAAAATGTTTTAACTTAATTCCCCCTGACACCCCAAAAAAGCCCTGTATTCTCCCCCTGCCTGTCAAGAAACATCCAGGAATAAAAAATAAGCAAAGGCCCACCTGCATCATCAGGCTGTACAAATGTTAATGCATATTAGCTGCCTGATAAGATTATCACAGCCAGAAATGCTTCCCTCAATTTTCTGATTACTGAGCTTATCTCTCCCAGCTCAGCCCATCACAGATGGCTGGGGATAAAGCAAGCACACCAGATAATTCCAGGAATGTGAATAAAAGGTACTGGGATGAGGAGTAGGCTTCAATTCCAACCTACTTCTAGCAGGAAAACACTCATTATGCTTCCTGTTTCCCGTGTCTGCTGAAGCCTGGGTGTGTTTGCTGTTAGAAGTTTGAGGATGCTTTCTGGGATGAGTGAGGGCAGCATGTGAAGATGGAAGAGCTGGTGAGTTATTTATCACTGGCTGAGAGGGCTCACCCACACAGATAAACCACAGCCACCTTCTCGAGGGACAAGGGGGGCACAGAGGGGTGAGGAATCTGCTGGTGTGACCTGGGGGCTCTTGTGGTGGCTGCACAGAGAGGGGGAAAAAACAGAGTGTAACAGGAAAAGGAGATGGGAGAGTGAATGCACACGAGCTTTGGGGAGCTTGTGAGAAGCATCTCGGTTCAAACACAGTGGTGACAAATCAGTGCCAGGCACGCTCAGCAGCAGCAGGATGAGATTCTGCTGGGGTTCTAAGAATAAGCTGCTGAAGGAGAATGAGGAGGAAGGGCACATGGGCTGCAAGGGCATTTAATCTCATTTTTATGTCCTCCCAATTTGCAAGTGCCAAGACTCCCTGGACTGAAAATCTGCTGTGCCCGAGATGAGAAGGGAGAGGAGGACACAGTGACATCACTACAGATGGAAATGGCTCGAGAAGTGAGATGTTCACACAGACCTGCTTCCCAGAACCAGGATTAAAACTACAGCAGTTTAAAGTCCAGGTCAAGACACAATTTTGTGCCAGAGGAACTTACTGCCATGCAGAGCCCACTAATTGTTTATGAAATAAGAAATTAAAAGCAATTAAGGTATTAAATACTTAATTCAAAATGTGTTGTTTCCAGGTTTCATCCCTAGCAATTGTTAGGAAAACAGCCCTTATTGCCAATCTCAAAGATATTAAAATATTCAGATATTAAAAATGCTATTTACTATTATGTTTTTAATGTCTTTTCCAGGACAAAAATAGTTAGTTGAGATGAGATGGAGTAGCTTACTCTGAGGACCCAAGTCTGCTTTTCTAAAGGCAACACAGTGCAAGCAGCAAGACACAAAACAAGAATGAAGAGAATGGCTGAAAATAAAGAATCTGTTGATGAAAGCCCAAGAAGTGAGGAGCTTTCCAAGACCATTCCCTTTGACACAGCCTCAGGATAGCTCTGGGAATGGGTGATGAGCATGAAATAATTCAGCACAGGGGAAATTTGTCCCTTCCCATCCACTTGTCCTCCCAGTACCTGTGCCAAAGAACAGACTCAAGAAGGGGCAAGGAAAGGAAGAGCCAAACCCCTCCTGCTGCTTTCTCTGCCTAATTCCCATCACATACATTTTCCTAAATTAATTTCCAGTTCTGATGTCTCTTCTTCACCAGATGCCACTTTCAGCAGGCATTTTATGCTTTTTGAACCAACTCACTATTCCTGGCTAAACTCTTCCAATTTTTATCAATAATTTTATGTGACTGGCTGAGTTAGACTTTTATTGCTTTGAATACATTAAACTAGTAGAAGTCATTACCAGGCAGAGAGGGGAAAAGGGCTGTTCAAATTACAGCTCACTGCTGTATTCCCCATTCCATACCAAACGACCCAGGTCAGCCTTGATCTGTACACTGGCACTGAGAGCAGACAGGGAACATTGTTGTGAAATACAGCATTGCATCTCTTGTCCTGAAAGCTGCACAAGAGGGACCTCAGGACCTACATCATCTGCAGGAGCTGCAGGGATTGTATCACCAAGGATCAGACCCCCAGTGATATTCCTACCCTACAGAACACATTAGCAACTTGAAAAGAAACCAAGCTGTTATTTTAATTGCTTTTAAAGTTATCTAAGGTTTTTATGAGTACTATCAGAGCCCATGAATGAATAAAACACATGAACAGGTACTTAATATTTTGAGGATGTGTTGTTCTCTTCTCAAAATATACTGAGGTCCCTTGTTCTCAACCTAAAGTGATCCCATTTATCCTGAAGTTTTTTTATCTCTTTCAATTCTCAAGCACAACTTTATTACTCTCCATAAAAAGTGATCAGGATATAGACTAATTTTAGAATGTCCATTGTCAAAAATATGCAAGTGCCCCAAAATATGAAATGCAAATAACTTTTCCAAAATAAGTACTGGCACCATTATTTACCAAAGGAGAAAGAGAGGAAGGAAGAACATGGATGCATTTTCATCTAGTATTTAATTATATGAAATATCAGTCTTCTTTCAGCCTTGCTTTTCAACCTGCCTGGACAAGATTCCAAGAAGGTGGTTCTCCTCCAAGTGTTAATGACATAGCAAACACCCACAGCAGGGTAAGAAATATGTTCCTCACTGCTTCTCCCTTCTGTAGCAATTATTTAAAGACATATGAGATGACAGGAGAAACAAAATTATAAATTCATCTCCTGACATCTAGAAGAAATAGAACTTTAGAGAGTTGATTTTTTTTGTTATATTTCTGACCCATATTTGTCCTCTCCAAGCAAGTACCCCGAGTCTCTGCAATGCCATGGACCTGTTGTTCCTCACACTCAACTCCAGCAGGTTTCAGGAAAATGAAATGAAAAGCTTCCCTGGAGCCTCCTACTGACCAGTGCTGTCCACACTCCATCTTCAGAGTGAGGCTCATCACAGGTCAGATCAGTCAGCCTTGAAAACCACATTTACAAACTTCCGAAAATTTTAATGCACTGCCCAAAACAATGATCAAGTCTCTGTTCAGGTGACTCATTTTGGGTAATAAAGAACTCAAAATCTAAAGTATTTCAATTCACTGCCAAAGTCGGATTTGCATGTTGAAAAAAAAAAAATGGGGCTGGTTTACTCGCCCACATCATGTACACACATTTCACAGAACACATGCTGGAGACATACAGTTATTATTTGAATAATGAGTGCATTTTAGTGAGGGGCTGATACAGCAATCTTATCCTGATGAAGTGTGTCTGCACGTCATTCAGCATTTTTGGAACCATAAAAAGCAGGAAATGCTGAATCCATTATAAATGTCTAAAGGTTTATTTAACAATGGGCTGATGCAACATCCTTTGAAAGGCCTTCCTCAGCAAAAGAGCTGATTTTGAACAGCAGCAATAAATGGGAACTGAATTGCACAGAGCCAGCATGGAAAGGTGAATTGAGAGGTTGTGTTGGACTACAAGTCTCAACACAATTCAAGGAGCTATTTCAGTCCATAAATATTTAAAATGTGTGAACACCAAGCAGACTTGGAAAGGAAGAGTGTGCACCAAAATAGACAAGAACAGAGAAATGAGACCCCAAGTATGACCCATGCACTGAGGTCTGAAAACTGGCAAACCAGGACCTTGACATGACAGTGATGCCATTTGTGCTTCTCTCCACTGCATGTAGCAGAGGCCAAGGAGCTTCTCTGCCT